CACTGATGCCCTGTTCTATCAGAAGGTGGGCAGAGTCCATATGCTCCCAAATCAAAATCCACGCAACATAATCTTCCAGGAACGTCTGTGCCAGCCTTACTTAGGTATTTCTATTCACATGGCTCAAAAACACCCAAACTCCATATAAAGGCAGGACTAGAATAAAGAAAAAGCTGGTAGCCAAAGATCGGCTCCTTTCCGGATGCTTCCCGCTACGTTTCCAAATTTCTTAGAAGTTGGTTGGCAAGAGACGTTCGAACTGCGTATGTTGAAATGAGTGGACCCCCGGTCTTGAGATACAGCTGGAACATCAAGATATCCGACTAATCTGAATAGCATAGTGAGAAGTGAGGCCGCCACATGCAGCTAATTAGCGTTTCGTTGCTGATTCTGCCTTCTGCCGGAACAAACTGAACTCTGATCCATGTCAGACAGTCACATGAAATGATAGGCTGCATTAGCTGTTATCAAAATTCATTGGTGGAGGGCGTAGAATGTGTGAGTTAACGGTGTAAAGAGTCACCAGCTTCAAGCAAACCAGGCCACGGAGTAGGGGCGATTTGGTGAAGTAAGAGAAGATTAGCCTGCCTAGCCCACTGTCTCTTGGAGCGGATATAAAATCCTTCAGCACTCCGTATTTGAAGAAGCATTGGATCCCGCGGGGGGAAGAAAGAAACAGAGAAAGAAAGGGTAATAAGCCTCCCAACAGTTTTATTTGGTTTATCTCAAATTTTCATGCCCCGGACGATTCCTGTTGTGCGCGCGAATACAGCGAAATGCAGCGTAGAAACAGTCTCTGAAAGGACAAGGAGATGACTACCTAGGTTGTCTCCGCCGACCGCCTAACTTTTCTATCCCTTCCCATTTTTAACCTGTGAATCAATCCTCTTCTCAAGCAGTTCCACCACCAAAACGTGATATATTTCAGTTTCTTATCCCATACTATTTTCTCCAGGTGGGCATCAAGCAAATTCTGGCGCGGTACACAAAAATCCCGCCTTGGCCACCTCTTCCTTCGTGAGGAACCGCATCGCGTCTATCGCGTTGGTAGAGCTGGAGACGGATGCGAGCGGTTACTTTCTAACTCTCCCTGAGCAGAGCTCTTCATTGGCCCCATACCGTTTAAAGCGCGCCCTGCTGCCGGTAGATGGTTCTGTTCTGAATCTTCGCCGTCACAGGTTTTCGCCTGTGGTCGCTCCGTACCTCCGAAATCTATTTGGGTTGTACCGCTTTGCGTCAAGAGTGGTTCTTAATCTGCCATCTACGCATTGCTGGTAGGAACTATTGAGGATGCTGCCAGGTGGCGGCAGTGTTTCTAGTTTTGGCTTGTAGCCATATCTCATTATGTCACGCTATTCCGCAGGCTTCGCAGACTTCTTTCCCACCGCCCCGTCAGTTATCCAACAAAAACGATTCAAGGCCACCAAAGAGCGACAACGATCCGGATCCCATTTAGGCAGAGGGCATGCCGACGAAGAACACATAATCTCGCCCAGAACCAAGGTAATTGAAGAAGCAGTCAGCAGAGATGCCCCTCCGGACTCAACACCAGGGTCTCAAACAGACCTGAAGCAATCGCGTAAGGAGGCTGTGGGAGATGTTTTGGCGAGTCCTGGTGAGGCGAATACTCCAGTCAACAACCCTCCCGGGCCCGGAACAGGATCTTCGAATGAGACCCATCTGGACACCCTTACGCCGCTGACAAACGTAGAGTTGTCACCGCATAACAAGCCAAGCCCACCCCAAGCGAAAGTACCCAACGAGTCTGTGGGTGATTTCTTCAGAGAACCAAGAATCGACGACGCAAAGAACACAATGACTCCGCTCCATACGCCGCCAACACCCACGCCGCAGTCACAAGCTCATCGCGTTGAAATAGTCAGAGGCTGGAAGCTGGTACATGATCCCGATAAAGCTCCCTCCTCTAAGGACAAGCGGAGGAAGCCTTGTTATGTGGATATTGTTACAGGAGGGCAGGGTACAATTTTGGCGGATCCTCGTTTGACTATACAAAACTATACGCGCGGTGCTGCATGCAGGCAGAAGACAAAGTATCGGCCGGCTCCATACTTGTTGAAACATTGGCCGTACGATCCGGCAAGTACGGTAGGACCTGGCCCTCCTGTACAAATCGTCATTACCGGTTTTGATCCGTTGACGACTCTCGCGCCAATCAATGCCCTGTTCTCAAGCTTTGGCGATATTTTAGAAATCAATAACCGCACAGACCCCATAACAGGCAGGTTTCTCGGGATATGCTCCGTTAAATATAAGGACAGCACTTCCTTTCATGGAAGCGGGCCTGTATCCGCGCCAGTCGCAGCGAAACGCGCATATTACGAGTGCAAGAAGGGACAGCGAATTGGCAACAATCGCATAAGAGTTGAATTGGACCGTGACGGCCAAATTTCCGGGAAACTAACATCGAGGGCAATTGAGGCCCAGAGAATGGGTTCAAAAGCCGATCCACCAGTCGCGGATGAACCCAAAATCGAGGAACATATGAACACAAACGAGCCCCCCCCAACGGCCCCGAAGGGTCCTTCCGGGAAATCTTCCATTCGACCCTTGGCTGTGGTTCCTGAAGGCCCAAGGGCAACCTTTTTGAAGCCGGCAATGCCATCATTGATCGAAGAAACACCCATATTGAACCAGATAAAGCGCGATCCGTATATATTCATCGCACATTGCTATGTGCCTGTTCTAAGTTCGACCCTGCCGCACTTAAAAAAGCGGCTCAAAGTGTTTGGTTGGAAGGATATTCGGTGCGACAAAACTGGGTACTATATCCTATTTGAGAATTCTCGACGTGGTGAAGAAGAAACGGAACGTTGTTACAAGTTCTGCCATATGAAACCTTTATTCACGTATATTATGAACATGGAAAACCAACCTTACGGCAATCCGCACTATGAACGCAGCCCCAGCCCCGAACGACTGAAGCAAGAACAGCGACAAAAAGCAGAGACTGAGAGACTAAGGAGGGAAAGAGAATTGGACATCGAGGAAGAAAAGAAGCAACGAGCTCTGAACTTCGACCCATGTACTGAAGTACTAACCATTATAATGAAGGATTTAAGGGACAAGCTACTCGAGGACGTCAAGTCCCGCATTGCGGGCCCGGCCTTATACGACTACCTCAACCCAGAAAGACACGCCCTGAGAAGGAAACAACTAGGAATAGCTGATCCCGAAGGAATTAAGCGACCAATGTTTCGTCTTGACTTCGACAGCCGGGATAGTACACCGGACCCCCACTCCAAACTATCCACTAACCGGCATCCATTCGGCACATCTGGTCTAAATATCCTCTCCCTTCCCCGAATCCGGAAGTCGCAGCACCTTGACCGCACAGATGCCGCTTTCTTGGACGAGAGACGAAAGCAACCTCTACGGAGGAAAGACGTCCGACCTCTCTATCATAGGCTACAACAGCTACATGATGCGGAAGATTCGGATGATGAACAGAATACGCCACTTTCCAGAGATACCGATGATCAAGATAGTCGGCCTCCAAGTCGAATGAGCTCGGGCACTGAATCAGATGATGTTGATGAAGAGGTAAACGGAACGTTAAACCACACTGCAGAAAATTCTGATGAAGGCTTACAACACCACGGGGCTGGAGACTCGGAAGCTGAATTTCAGGAGTACTCGCCATCGCGTAAGAGAAAAAGAACGAATGAAAATCTTGACCAACGAAAAAGGCAGAAGGAAGATGGCAGCTTCGTTGACGTGGGTGAAGATGCGCAAGGTGACATATATATGTCATTGGAAACCATTAAGAATGGCATCATCGCCGACAAGATCTCCGATTCAAATAAGACAGATGATAAGTCTTTGTTGGAAGGATTGGGTAATGACAATAATCTCTCGCGTCCGGGAGAATACGGCACCGAAACTTCAGATCACCATTTTGCGCATTCACCCACTAGGAATCTGGTCGATGAGGCCGGACGCCACGGAGGGTTCAAGTTGGAAGTCGATTGGAGAGTATCCCATGACGAACCTCGACCGATTGTCTATGATGACGATTCAGTTATCCTGGATCTCGATGGTTGGCAAAACTTAATAAAGGATGAAGAGGATCTTCAATTCCTTCGCAACGTTCTGAAAGGGCAGTCGAGATCTATTGTTGGTAACGTACCGGCTTGGGCGTGGAGGCAAAAGGAAATAAAAGCTCTCAATCACCCCGGCGATGTTGGGGCTACACGCCAACCTGCTGACATCGATGGCTACTACGTTCCCAATACCACAGGAGCCGCTCGGACCGAAGGACGAAAGAGAATTCTTGAATCAGAAAAATCCAAGTATCTCCCTCATCGTATTAAGGTCCAGAAAGCCCGTGAAGAGCGTGAGGCGAATGCCAAGAATGATCCTCAAAATGCTGCCGCTGAGGCAGCTCGGATTGCAGCTGCAAAAACGATCTCCAAATCAACATCCCGATCCACAAGAGTCAACAACCGCAGGCTTATCGCGGATATTAATGCTCAAAAGCAAGCCCTTCCAGCGCAAAGTGGTGACAGTGATGTCCTTCGATTTAATCAACTGAAAAAGCGAAAGAAACCTGTGCGTTTCGCTCGGTCAGCTATTCATAATTGGGGTCTTTATGCTGAAGTCAATATTTCTGCGAATGAGATGATTATCGAATACGTAGGAGAGAAAGTACGACAACAGGTCGCTGATATGAGGGAACGGCGTTACTTGAAAAGCGGCATTGGCAGTAGCTACCTTTTCCGCATTGATGAAAACACCGTCATTGATGCCACAAAAAGAGGCGGTATCGCTAGGTTTATTAACCATAGCTGTACTCCCAACTGCACAGCAAAAATAATCAAGGTCGATGGGAGCAAGCGAATTGTTATTTACGCGTTAAGGGACATCGAAAGAGGTGAGTCATAATGCAGCCCTTAACGTGTGACATGGCGAACTAACTTGGTTGTAGACGAAGAGTTGACTTACGACTACAAATTCGAAAGGGAATGGGATAGTGATGACAGAATCCCTTGTCTTTGCGGTTCGGCTGGATGTAAAGGATTTCTAAATTGAAATTTTGTATGTCCTAAGAAACGCCAAGCATGAAACCAACTATCTTTCAAACATTTATTGCTGGTTTCCTACAATGACATTTTTAAGCCTTATTGGGCTTTTTTCACAGCCAAACGGACCCGGGGTTGTTCAGCGAGTACATGTTGATTTGGGGCTGGCGTTTGCATTCGTTGGCCGCAATCCGCTCCCCCGTTTGCTGATTCGGGGATTATATGTATGACAGGGGTTACTGTCCAACTTGCAACAACTGTGTATTATAGGAGATCTCCACGCTCATATCCCACATAATAGATAATCAAGGATTCGGATAGACCCCAAGCGCTGAGTAGGAGGGCTAAACGATTCAGCCATGGAAAACTCGCAGCTCAATTATCTTGTCGAGTTCCGACTATGTCAGGATGTCGCCTGCAAAACTTCGGGGAGCTGGTGCAGTACATCATACTGATATTGTTTGTAAAAAAAAAACTTTAGCAGGTGTTGCGACTAACGAGGGGACAAGGTCTCGAACCTAGGTGGCTGGGAAGGAGAAAATTTGCAATTCCCTCTTTGATGACATATTCATGACCACAGTTTCCGCACGTAAGCTTTCCCTCTGCAACCTGTGTCTCCAGTAGTAACCGGTGAAGATCCCTTAGAAGCTGTTCACTTTCAAGCGCTTCGCCCTCTGGTTTGGTTTCCGGAATATTGGGGAAATTGAGCTTATTGGAATAAGCCTGTCAGCTTTCAGTGACATACGCGGTTCAACCCAGGTGGAACCTGAGGTACGGCATGCTACGTACTTCATTTGCCATTTTATGCAGGGCCTCCCAGTCAACTCGAGGAATAATATTGCGTATGAAATCTGGCTGGAAGTCAATGTCCTGAAGTTCGAGTTCGACATCGCGAAAATGCAGGGGAAATGCTGAAGGAGATCCCTTGCAGGTCTTGACAGCACATGTTAGGAAATTAATAGTGAGTAACTTCATTTTATCCGAGCTTATGGGTTTATATGCAAAAGTGAGGGGTGATAACAAGCTCTTGTCTCTGTTTGTGTTAAATTCAAAAAATTCATTCCGCCCCGCTGAGGATCCGCAGCCTAGATCCCTTATCTCTCCCCCCCCTTATCAATCCCCCATTTTGCTTATCAAGACTTCAAACTGCGAAGTGGGAATGTATTTACATGACATGTCTATGACAAAACAAATCTTGTTCAATAAATGATTTTTTACACTAGCAAGGAATCCTACCATGTACTTATGAGCACATGGTCTGGGCCATAATACCTATTTACACCACCAGGAAGCCATGGCTTCGCCATTAATTTGTAGCTTCGACTGGGAAACAAGTACGCCGTTATGTTTCAATATTTATCAGGCATTAGCATGCGATATTTGTGTAAGGTGGTACAAGAATTCATAAATATGTCCAGCATATGTTGGGCTATCCGAAGACCATCCATTATTGTTACTAACAGGCTCGTGGTCCCGTAGTCTTGATTAGATAGCTAGCACCAGTCAAAACTTTCCTGTCTGTTTTTGAACTACGTCACATTTCCTTCTTTACTAGAACATCCACCAAATCCCCGTCGGCAATGTCATAGTCCGCCAGGCAACACTGGGGGTCCAGGCGATCACCATCAAATGTAAGGTATATTGTCAGCTCAGTGGGTATGTTTCGGGCTTCACGGAAAGCGCTAACGACCTGAGAGACGTCTGTCGCCAATGAAATACGAATCTTGTATTCATCAAATTCTGGGCACTTGAGGGTGATCTCACTTTGAATATACTTATCCGTGCCTCGAGACTCCGTCGACGCAGGGGGCGTTGTATCAAACCTGGCTATGTTCAGGGACGATCGATCCCCATCCGCGAACGTTTGTTCAGTAACAGCTTCCATGTGGATTCGACAGTCATCTGCATCACTGAAGCAGTTCTCGAACGGCAGTAGCTCTTTGGTCAAGGCATTGTGAATCCTAATATTCAAACTTCTACAGGTTGTGACATCAAAGAGTCTTCTCCCTTTCCATGCCAAAACGATACTCGAGTGAAGCTCTTGCGGTAAGTTTTGATGCGCACACCATGCAAGGCGTACTCCTTTTAGAGATTGTGACATTTTTCGATGAATAATGAGAGGTCTCGTCTTGGGGATCTTTGAAGTAATGAGAATCTGTACCACCGTGTTGTCATAAGCAGTACTCCGGACATCACGCGATGCGCCTGTATCTGTCGGTACCGCTATGTCAACCGAACAGTTTTTGGGATGCGTATCCACGTTCGCATTGCCGGTGGTATCAGAACGCATGGATGTAAGTTCTGCTCGTAATTCTGGTAATTTGCTCTCCGGTGAGTTTTGGAGTCTTGGGGATATGGAAAATTTCGTGTCCGTGATCGATAAATCATTGGAAACACGAGGTTTGGGTGCCGTAGTCTTGACACTTCTTGTATTGTGCTGAGGGTCATTCTGTGGCGGAAAAGAATTTCTCAGTAAAGCATTTCCTTCAGCTGTCCCATGTTCACAATTAGGTCTTACAATATTCCCATCATTTGAAGAACTTCGAAGACGTTGCCGTTTGTGTGGATTGCCCAGGGAGGAGCTTGCATGTCTTTCACGCGCATTTGTTTTAGTAGCAACGATGTCTTCATAAGTTTGACCAGCACGGCGGTAAAATTCCAAGTCTCCATTTTCGGCTCCTCGGCTTGCCCAAGATGGCTTTTTGAAGTATGAAGGCATGTGTTGATATGGAATCCCACAATCGCGTAATATATGCTGTCGAGTCTCAAACTTAATCAACAAGATATAGAGAAGATGTGGACTATCTCTCTTGTCATTTGCTTATATCCTAAAGGATAAACCCTCGGTGGAAGCAAACGGGTATGCGGCTTTCTCGAGTATTAGCTAAAAAGCTTCAAGTCATACGCGAAATTTCATAGGTTAACTTGGAGACGTAATTGTGACTATATTCGTGTAAAGATATGGGTTAGTTTTGTTTAGGCCTGTGTAGAAAGAAAAGAAAGAAAAACCTTATCAAAACTTAGCGCCAACTACCTGTAAAGACCTTTGCTTGTGTGGAGTTTGACCGCTTGACTAAAAAGGGCACAATTAGTAACTAAGGTAAATAAGTTCATTTGCGGGTGCTGTCCCGCAGGTGATGATGTAACACGTGCCCGCTTTGTTGAAGTTTCCTGTTTAACATCAACAACCTATAAATACCTAAAATCCCAGTACTGGTTGAAGAATCACTCCTACATCCTCTTACTTCCCAAGGGAAAGAAAATAAAGGTGATTGAAGGATGGAGAATGGCGCATCATCAGAAGGGAAGGACCCTTCTGCCTTCCTGGGTGAGATAATTGGCGCACCTGTGACAGTTAAGCTGAATTCAGGAGTGGTGTACAAAGGTCTCTTTGTTCCTGTCTAAAATACTAGCAGAAACCTGAATAACCGCTGACTTAAAGATTTAGGTGAACTCCAGTCAGTAGATGGCTACATGAACATCGCCCTGGAGAAGTCCCAAGAATATGTTAGTGGGCAGTTGTCACGCAGCTACGGAGATGCCTTTGTCCGTGGTAACAACGGTATACACTCCCTTTTATTAGCTGAGTCAAAATGTGATCTAACTTAGCTACTTTGCGGCTTTGGCAGTGTTATATATCGCTGCAAACTGAACTGCAAGCATTGGTGCGCAGAGCATTGAACCCAGGAAAATCACACCACTACTATCTAGCCGCATCTTGCATCTGCTGGCAATCTTGCATGGGCGCTTGCCGCAACTTATATGGGTGGTCATAAGGGTTGGGGAGTGGTCATGGAATATGAGCAAACGCGAAGCAGTCTATCGAACAATGGACAAACATGATACATGACTAGAATGTGCTATGGGGGTCTTCATCGGCATTAAATTCAAGCGAGTTTGGGTTTAAGCATTTAAACTTCAGTGAAATCTACATGTGTGGACTATATAATAAATTTTTACTCTTCTAATAAAATTTTGACCGCACGTACCCCTGGAGCCTGTATTGGTTCATTACAGAGTAGGTGATTCTGTTTCCAACCCTTTGTTTACAGTCCACTGCAGGTAAGTATTATTGGTGTAAACACTCGCTGCGTGTCGTTGCCTGGCTAGCCGTTACTCATACTGGTAAGATCTACCAATAATACTAATACGGAATACCTGCTGTATAGTATGTCAAGCTCTCAGCGGGATATTGGATTCCAGCTAGCACCGATACCTACTTTGACATCAGGCCCAGGTTCGAATTGTGTATTCTTCGGGCACGAAAAACCAGCCCATTTCACTACCACGACAGTAGTATTTAATGCGGACAAAGAAAGGGTATCGATTTTTGGATCGTCGTTGGATTAACCACAGCGACCTTGCTATGCTAGCCATTAGGCCCTACTCCCAAGGAATTTACAAGTTCCAAACCACTACTAGTTAATAACCCGCCGTCATCACTTAAAAGCATATTAAGTTTTCTTTTCAAGCACCGAACACCACCACCCACCACATCGGCCGTCAAAGGTTGAATTGGGCCACATTCTGAAAACACCGGTCAGTGGGTGCCGGAAAGATCGCCTTCAATTGGCATACCATGGGTGGAACCATTGTGGCAATTGCCGTCTTAGATTACCATGGCAGTCCCAATAAGGCAGGCTCTCGGGAAAGAATAGGCGAACTCTTTCACCTCCAGCTTGGTCCCGGAACAATAAATACAAATGTGGCATAGGTACCCTACTCCTGCTACTGGATATTCACCCCGTTTAACCATTAACCAGAGCAAACTCTTGCGGATTCTGGGAAATCGCAGCCACCTAAGTATTCGCAAGCCGAATGCGTGCCAACGGAGCGTGAATTGGATATCTAAGAAGATATTGTGATTCGTGTCGCGTTTTTTCTCCCTCCTGAGGACCGCTAAAACCCGCCCTCAGCCTTTAATGCCGAAGTGGAAGTTTGTTTTGCGAAAGACACAACGCGGGAACAAAAAGTGAAGCTGGTTAGCAAGCGACCATTCCTGTTGAATGCGCGCCAATGCTTGAGTTCTTCAAGTCTCATCCCAGTCCTTCGAATAGTCTTTCAATTTTGTGACTTTTTTTACCTATCTCTATATCCAACAAACATTCCAAATGGATTGCACCAGCAACAATACCGGCGATACTTCTGGTGATTTTGGGTCACCTCTCAAACCTGGTGCACTAGCATCTAATTCTGGCACCGATGAGGAAAAGCCATTGTCCAATTTGACCTGCGAATCATCGGCATCTAGTTCGTCAAAGGGTAATACGCACAGTACCCAAACCCCACAATCAAAGGCATACAAGCCCGAGAATGGCCCCGACACACAACACCAAGGCCGAGGGACGCGTTCATCTACACGGTCGTCAAGCCGTGCGCCAAGGAGGCTAAGCGGAAGCACCGCTGCAAGCTCGATAAACGATGCGGAATTGCCGCCTGCTCATTTAGGTAAAATCGGCGTCTGCGCATTGGATGTGAAGGCCCGAAGCAAGCCCAGTCAAAACATTCTCACTCGTCTACAATCCAAGGGCGACTTTGAGGTTATTGTCTTCGGCGACAAGGTGATTCTCGATGAGGCCGTGGAGAATTGGCCGGTATGCGACTACCTCATAGCTTTCTTCTCGGATGGCTTTCCATTAGATAAGGCCATTGCCTATGCGAGCTTGAGAAAGCCATTTTGTGTCAATGATTTGCCCATGCAAAGGATTCTATGGGACCGACGACTGTGTCTGCGCATCCTAGACCACATGAATGTTCCTACACCAAAAAGGATCGAGGTCAACCGAGATGGTGGGCCCACTTTAGAGACTGCAGAACTTGCGCAGCATGTCTACAAGCTGACCGGTGTCAAGCTGGATGGTGCCGCTGACGGCACAGGTGGGGGGACAGCCAAAACAAAGAACGTTGATATGTCTGAAGACGGCGATTCTCTCGTCGTTGATGGCAAGCACTTCAAAAAGCCATTTGTTGAAAAGCCGGTAAGCGGCGAAGATCACAATATACACATATACTTCCCGAATGACCAGCAGTATGGAGGCGGTGGAAGGCGACTCTTTCGAAAAGTTGGGAACAAGAGCTCTGAATACGACCCTAACCTCTCAGTTCCGCGGTCGGTCACAGAGGGAGGGTCGAGCTATATATATGAACAGTTTTTGAGGGTCGATAACGCAGAAGATGTCAAGGCCTACACAGTTGGGCCAGACTTCTGTCATGCTGAAACCCGAAAATCGCCCGTTGTTGACGGTCTAGTCCGCCGCAATACCCATGGCAAGGAGCTCAGGTATATAACGAAACTGAGCAAGGAAGAAGCGTCGATAGCCTCCAAAATATCGTATGGTTTCGGGCAAAGAATATGTGGGTTTGACATGCTTCGAGTTGGCGAGAGAAGCTATGTGATTGATGTCAATGGCTGGAGCTTCGTCAAAGATAACAATGATTACTATGATAGGTGCGCCAGTATTCTGCGGGATACTTTTATCGGCGAGAAGCGCAAGCGTGAGGGCATTGTTGATGCTACTGAAGTATCCTCCTCAGACCCGAATAACCACCCATGGAGACACTCGGTGTCACATCGACAGGCGCTGAAGACTTTGTTGAAATCACCGGGCTCATCAAAATCCAACGGGAGTCAACCTCACCAAAAGGTTGCAGAAATGGGGTCGTCAGAATCGTTGTTACTGAGCCTTGCTTCGTCGAATAATGAGGGCGTGGACCACAGTAAGAGTAATGTAAACACAGATTCAAGCGAGAAGTCGGCGTCGCCTGGGCATCCCGCAATGCATAATTCAAGTGATGGGAACCCCCCTCCTCCTGCTTCCAAGCATTCATGGAAGTTGAAAGGCATGGTGGCCGTTATAAGGCACGCCGATCGAACACCAAAGCAGAAGTTTAAATTTACATTCCACAGTCAGCCCTTCATCGACCTGTTGAAAGGTCACCAGGAGGAGGTTGTGATTAAAGGCGAACCCGCACTACGCTGTGTATCCGAGGCAGTTAATCTCGCCATGGAACAAGGACTCGAGGATGCCGACAAGCTAAAATTGCTTCGTACATCCCTAGAAAAGAAAGGCGGCTGGCCGGGAACCAAAGTACAAATAAAACCCATGTTCAGGAGGCGAAAGCTTGAAGAAGCACCAGGCCGGCCACTAACACCCTGTGAAGCGGTTGGTAAAGAACCTACCTCACCTCTGCCAAAGGACGCCTCTCAAGAGGCCGAGAGCGCGGATAGGTCACAGACTCGCAGTGATTCAATATCTGGTGCAACATTTTCAAGGTTTTCCGCCGTTGAAAATGATCTTATACTGGATAAACTTCAGCTCGTTATCAAATGGGGAGGGGAGCCAACTCACGCTGCCCGATATCAATCCCAGGATCTTGGGCTCAACATGCGCGATGATCTGAAGCTGATGAATAAGGAAGCATTGAACAATGTTCAGATTTTCACCAGCTCCGAGCGGAGAGTGAGTACTAGTTGTAAGTCAATACATAATATCTGGAAGTTAATTTACTTGAATGTGTAAAGGCTAACTGGAATTACAAAGCTCAAATATGGGCTTGCTCATTCCTTGATCAGAAGGAAATACCTGAAGGCTTCATCCAAGTCAGGAAGGATCTGCTTGACGACTCCAATGCGGCGAAAGATCTAATGGACAAGGTAAAGAAAAAGCTAAAATTGCTTCTACGAGAAGGATCCGCGCCTTCGCAATTTACATGGCCGAAGGAGAATATTCCTGAGCCGTCTGTAGTCTTGGCAACCGTCGTCGAATTGATGAAATTCCATCGGGATATTATGAGGCTTAACTTCCAGAAGCTGGACAGCGCATCTGCGCCCTCTCCAGGCACAGCGGAGAGTGCCGACGAGTTGACTCCATCTCGCACTGCAGCGTTACCAAGTGAGAATCCTTCACTGTATTCTATCCAAGGGCGGTGGTGCACTGGCGAGGATCCTATGCTCTTCAAAGAGAGGTGGGAGAAACTTTTCGCCGAGTTTTGTGATACTGAAAAGGTTGACCCCAGCAAACTTTCCGAGCTATATGACAGTATGAAATTCGATGCACTCCATAATCGACAATTTCTCGAGTGGGTTTTCACACCTCCGGAGGCCGAGGACTGCGAGGAGGCAGACGTGAGCTGGAGGAGGGCTTCACGAAAGGATACCCCGGCAGAATCAAGAATTAACAATGCCCAGGATGGTTTGAACCTCCAACGGGTCGATGAGCAACACTCTGAGAGTCAGACGCTGGCGCATCGGCTTGGTCTGAGGAGACGAATGCATGCGTTCGAGTCGTCCATACCTCACCTGCGGGTCCTTGATGACTCCTACGATCATTATTTCAAGTTATACCCGAGCTCGAATTCGTCGAAAACTAAGCTAGATTCTAGGCTTTCCAAGTTGAGGGAGCTATACAAGCTGGCCAAAATTCTTTTTGATTATGTGACACCCCAGGAGTATGGTATCACGGACACGGAGAAGCTGGAGATTGGCTTGTTGACGTCCTTGCCACTTCTTCAGGAGATAGTAAGGGACTTGGAGGAAGTTCAAGCTTCTTCAGATGCGAAGTCTGTGTTTTATTTCACAAAGGAATCCCATATATACACACTCTTGAACTGTATACTTGAGGGGGGGATTCAGACAAAGATAGCACGTTCTGCTATCCCGGAGTTGGATTACCTATCCCAGATCTGCTTCGAGCTCTATGAGGCCAGGGATAGCGAATCATCAACCAGTTCTTACTCCATTCGAATTTCTATCAGCCCGGGTTGTCATGCTTTTGACCCTTTGGATGTGCACCTTGACTCTAGGCATGCAATCGGCTGTGCACCGCGACGCAGTCTTACTGCTCATCAAGATTGGAAGGAGGTTATAGAGACCTTGAAGGCCAAGTTTAACACGTGAGTTCAACCCTCTGAACTATATCCTAGTGTGTTTTGATGCTGATATTTTATACTAGTGTTAAACTTCCAACAACATTTACAGCTGTGAATTTAAGTGACAAACATGTTTCAAGGTCCCAGGAGACACAGTAACCTCTTATGTTTGTCACAGCCCGGGCTAGAGCAGGTCATCTACGCGAGTAGCCCTGGCCTTGGTTATATAATTTACTATGCTAGCACTATACTAGTAGTCTATAGATATATATTCTAGTTGTATAATAGATTATAGTTCTACTTTGTTAGGCCTGCTGGGAATTTGGTCTATCTTCTATAGTTCAGGGGGGGGGGTCTGTTAATATTAAGAGAAAGAGTCAATGATCAGGTAGAGAATCTGCCGCGGGAAGGTATTGAAATTTTAAAACATATGTGTGATAACACCCCGAGTTCAGTAGATATTGAAGTCCTTGAAATAGTGGAGATTAGCCAGAATGCTGTCTTCTAGCCTTGTTATTATCCTATTTATATATTATCTAATAGTCTTATATGTAATTAAGCTAGTGTTATGCGCCGCCATACACGAGCACATGAGCTATACCTGAGATATACTATAACTGCTTGGCAGCTATTAGATGATATATAATTTCATACTCTAGGAACTATATATTATGGATTTATAGTTCTAATTTTTTTAGAGATTTAATATATATAGATTATAGTAAAATTTATATAATAAAATTTAAAACTTAGAAATAAAATCTATACTATAATTTATAAAGAAAAATTAGTTTAATAATATAAAACAAACAGCTAATATGAAATCCATAAATAAAAAAAATCTATAAATAATAAAGGCTAAACTAGAATTCTTTAATTTTTAAAAAGAAATATGATTTAAGGAAAATAATAATTTAAATTGTAAAAATAAGGGCGTGCTGTATATATATCTATCTTAATAGCTCTATATATACTTTAATTAGTTATATATATATATCTTTAGTTATATACTGGCCTTCTAATTTATAATACTATATTATATAATCTTATAATAGTTATATATCATAACTACTAATATAATTCTATATAATTATTCTGTAAGTCTTTATTATTGTGATTCTTGATAGCGATGTCCAGAGATATTAATACCTTTAATATATATTAGAGATATTAATATCCTGTGATTCTACTATTAGTTAAGATAATTATTAATATCTTATTAAATTATATATAAATATATAGATAATAACTAGAAAAAAATAATAATAATAATACTAGAAATATATTTTTAGACTATATTTTAGTATTTTAATAACTCTAATATTTATTAATCTTAGAATATTATTATATTTAATAGTATATTTTTAGTTTTACTAGTAATTTTAAAGAAAAAAGGTTAATAAATTAAAATTTTTAAAACTAAATTAAATAAAAATCAATAAAAAAATATAATATTAATAGACTTATTTATAAAAATTTTTTCTATACTTCTAGAATCTAAAAGATAGTTAATAAAGAAATATTTTAAAAAATATAAAAATAATATTCTAAAAAAAATTTAGAATTAAAAATTAATAATAATAATAATAATAATAATAATAATAATAATAATAATAATAAATCTATAAAATAATCTTTATAATATTTTTAATAATATTAATAATTATAACTTTTCTACTTAGTAGAATAATAATATTAAAGTATCTTATTAAATAGTAAATTGATTATACTCCAGTCTTAAATTATAAAATAATAAAATTAATCCTAATAAAAAGATTAAAAGAAGCTATAATAATAAAAAAAGATTTTTAAAATCTTAAAAAAATAATAAAATAATAATATAATAACTTAATAAAAATTATTTATAAAAATATTAATTTTAGATTAAAAAGTAATAAATTAGTTTAAAATAAAGTCTTATTTAAAAATTTTTAAATATTAGAAAACTACTAAAATATAATAAATAAAATATTAATAATATTATAAATAAATAGTGTTATTTAATAGAAAAATATTTTAAATTAAATATATTTTAATAAAAAAAATCTCTAGAATATATAAAAAATTTATTATATTAAAGATTTTCTTAATAGAATAGCTAGAACTATATAATAAATATAAAAAAATATAAAAAAAAAATAATTTTATTAATATTTAGTAAAAATTTTATAAATAAATTATAAATAATTTTAAAAAACTTTTCAATAAAAATAAAAAGTAAAAATAATTTATTAGTTATATATAAAAGAATTTTAATATAATAAATTATAATAATTAATTTTTATATATAATTATTTAAATTAAACTAGTCTTATCTAAATATTTTATAATTTAATATTTTAAAATAAGAGTTAAATCTACTCTTTAAATTTATTTTATAAAAAATCTTAATATTTCTATTATTTTTAAAGATTTAATATAGAGATTTAACTAGTATAAATAAGAGAATATTATTATAAAATATTATATAAATATAATATAGATAAGTATTAAATAAATTAATATTATAAATTTAAATATCTTTACTAGATACTTTAATTAATTAAATAAAAAAGTCTAGAATAGAGATTATAGTATATAATATATAATATTCATTTTTAATATAGTATAAAAAATACTTGAAACTTTATATATTTTAATTAAATAAATAAAAAGAAATCTAAGTTAAAGAATTTTTTAAAAAAAACAAAAACTTTAAATAAAAAAATTAGTAATCTAAATAATAAAAATCTTTAAAATAGATAATTAAGAGTTAAAAATTTTAGATATATTAAAATTTTCTTTTAGAAATAGATATTTAGTCTTAAAGTTAATCTAAAAACTAGTAGCTATGTTATATATTATAAAGTTAAATATTACTTTATATATCTATATTATTAGGTTTAGAGTATTTATTAAGATTATTAAAATTTTTATTAATTTTAAAGCTAGTTATTTACTTCTTTTAATCTAGTTAACTAATAAATTTTAGAAATATTAAATATTTAAAAAATAGAATAATTAGAAGTAAAAATAATTAATAAAAAGTTTTTAATTATAAAAAATCATCGTTAATTATCTATAACTTTTAAAAATTAGAAAATAAGTATAAAAATATATATATTAAATTTATTATATTATGATATAATATTAGAGTAAGATTAATTAAAAATATTTAATTTATAAATTAACTAGAGTATATCTAAAATATTTTTTTTTAAAAAAATAGATAATATATATATATTATTAGATTTATTAGGAAGATATAGAATAGAAGGTCTTCAGCCAGGATTTAATCTAAAAGAACTAGTAATACTATAAAAGTATTACTACACTTTATTTTATAAATTAAAGTTTTATTTAACTTTATAGGTAACTAACTTTAATTTTTTCTATATTCTCCCAACTATTTTTTATAGTATAATAACTAGAATAGTACTAAATAAAAATAGAGTAAAAATAATATAATCCTAATTAAGATACTAATAATATATTAATATATATATTTATATAAATAACTTTATTACTATAATATATTGATTAAGAGATTTCTAGCTATTTACTAGCTTTAATATATATAAATTTATTAAGATTATATTTCTAGTACTAATAAAGGCTATAATTAAATTTAAATAATAAATACTAAAGATACTAGTCTATAATAATTTTATAAAAAATATTAAATTAATAAAAAAATTATTTTAGTAATAGTTAAAAAGCTAGCTATAACTAGTTAAGTTAGTTAATTAACTTAAAAAATCTAATTATAATATAATAACTCTATTATTATCAAGCTTTTTAAGATCTTAAATTAAAGTTATATATTAAAATATTATTATAATAATAATCTTAAAATTCTATATATTTAACTAGTTATAAAAAGTTTAGATTAATATAAAAAATCTTTTTAAAAATATTACTATTCTAATTTTTTTTTCTAGTAGAGAATCTTTAACTATATATATAAAAAATAATCTTTATAATAGTTAATTTATTATAATATAATTATTTAAAGCTAGTTAACTAGATTAATATAAATATTATAAAAAATAAAAATAAGATAATCTAGTATTAAAAAATAATTATTATAAAAATTTTACCTAGTAAAGATATTATCTTAATTATTAATAATATCAAAAATACTAAATAATTAATTTTTTTAATTTTTTTATAGCTCTAGATCTTTAGAATTAAAATTATTTTAAAGTATTATAGATATTCTATAATACTTTATAAAATAAAAATATAAATAATAGAATAAAATAATCTAGTAAAATATTATAAGGCTATAATACTAATATAGCGGCTCTCTAGGGATTATAGAGGTATAATATATAATTAATAGAAGATAGGTTTATATTTAATAGAATTAATTACTAGTTTCTCTAATTAAGAACTAGTAGTATAATATATATTTATATATTATATAGTAGTTATTTAGCTACTATAATATATCTTAAGCATGCTTATATAATATTTATAAATAATAGTATATAATAGTTATTTTTCTTTCTTAAGTAATTATAATCTTATAATTAGTTATTTTTAACAGGCCCTATAGTTAAAATATAAAGTAAAAAAAATCTAATAATACTAAACTTAGTTTTATAGATTTAGAATTAAACTTATAATAAGTATTTAAAGTTAGTATATTATTACTTTATTAATATAGATAGTTTTAACAGTATAAATAAATACTATATATCTAGTATTTATTATAAGTAAATCTATATATAGTTTAATAATATTATAGTATTAAAATATTATTTACTTTTTATTTATTTTTTCTTTCTTTTCTTTCTAGATATTTTATTTTTTATTATTATAAGTATTTCTTTATATTTATATAACTTATTAATTAATTTCTTTTATTTTTATAATTATCTTAATTTTATAAATCTTATTAATATTCTTTTAGATTAAATTAAGTCTTCTAGTACTATATTATAGATTAATATAATAATATATTAGTTTAATAGTAGAAACTTTATATTATTATTTCTTAATTATATTTTAAATAATTATATTAATATTTAGTATTTAGATTCTTCTAATTTCTATAATTTAAATAAACTTTTTACTAGTTATTTTACTTAAAAAGTTATAAAAATATTATTATTAGAAATTTTATTTATATATAATATATCTATATTGGATTTTTTTAATTATTTAGTTTTTTA